ATATTGGGAAGATCTATACACCATGACATAGATCAAAGATTTTGATTCAATGCTAAATATTTAAAATAAAGGGAGGAATGATTTCTTTTTGGTTGCTGTAGTTCGGGCATTGGTGAGGATGAAGAGTATGTGGCTGTACCAGGTCTAGTTTTAATGTACTCTTGTTTTAATGTAGATGTATTTTTAATATCTGTAAGCCATCCAGAGTTACCTTATGGTAGGATTGGCCAATAACTTTTATAAATAGGTAGGTGGGTGGGTGGATGGGTGGGTGGATGGATGTGGTATCCTGGTATGACAATTCTTTTCCCTCCCAGTCTCTGGATCATTTTTGCCAAACTACAGAACTGATATCTTAGCAGAGGAATTTTGAAATCATGATACCATATGGCAGGCACATGAGCAAAAATAGGCAAACAAAATTATTAGCAGATTGAGGAACCTCCTTTATAATAGGAGTCTGGATGGTTTGAAATCAGCTATTTATAGGAGTATATGTGCAGGAGAGAAAGTTGGCTGAGAGAACATTCTTCCCCATAATATTAAATCTGGTGTCTAATTCAGATTTTCATCTATACTGTAAATGCATTTCTTCAGGGCAACTCTAGTTTTAGTTGTGGGTTTGGAAAATAATGTTGAGATTTTGTTGTTGTTAGTTGCGAAGTTGTGTCCGACCCATCGCAACCCCATGGACAACATTCCTCCAGGCCTTCCTGTCCTCTACCATCCTCTGGAGTCCATTTAAACTCCCGTGGACTGCTTCGGTGACTCCATCCAGCCATCTCATTTTCTGTCGTCCCCTTCTTCTTTTGCCCTCAATCTTTCCCAGCATTAGGCTCTTCTCCAGCGAGTCCTTTCTCATTTGGTAGCCAAAGAACCTTGAGATTATGGTCCTTATTTTCTCAGTCTGCAGATGAGGAAATTGATAAGCCTTTTCTCAGCTATGTTAAATCAAGTCAAATCTTTTGTTGCAGTCAAGGATCAGTAATAGGTGCAATTCAGCAACAGTTTGATGGAGGTGGTGGTGAATGGGGAGTGGGATATGGATAGATGAGAAATTCACAGAAAAGAGAAGACATATTCTTGCCAAGAGTGAAATCACATTTTGTTTGATTTTCAATAATTCCCCTCTTTGATGGGTCTGTGCTTTTTCATAGGACGGAAGAGCAGCATCTGCAGTCGTGGTCTGTTCTTTCTTATGTTTCTGTCGCCTTTTCACCACAGCTGAAGCTGCGGTTTATATGTTTAGTATGAAACGTTGTCCTCCCGGCATTTGGCCATCGCATAAGAGGTACGTTGCTTGCAGAAACAACCGTTTGCTTAAATACAAACCTTGATATTTTTTGGGGGTAAAATTTCCAAAGTGGTAAGCTGTAAGCAGATCAGTGGAGTGTGTCTTCTTACAAAGGCATTTGATTCTTCAGGGTTCTATCCTGTTCATACAGTCCACAGCAAGATGTTTTTATAATTGTAGCATTGGTGCAAACCCAGTATAGGTGCCAGACCTGACTGGATTTTTTTCATTTCCCCTCCTTTTTAGTTTAATATCCCGCCAACCTTTTCATTGCCCATCATTTTCTAACATTTTATTTGTTTATTTTAATTGAAGAAAAAAATAGAAATATGGCCACAATAAAGTCAATTGGGTTTTAAACTGTCATGTCATTTTCTGCAGGATTAATGACTTAACTGGCAGCTGACTGTTTATCCCAGATTCATACAACAAACCAAATAATGATTAAGGAAATTTAATTCCTGATAAATTGCCTATAGTGGCCTGTAGTTTAGACATTTTTCCTTAACCATAGTTTGACTTTACTCTGGGCTCATGCAGCATGCTAAACTTAACCACAGGAGATATAATACATTGTGCGAACCTGTTCATTCTACAAGATTGCAATGACTGCTTTTCCTGTTTTCAGCTATTGAAAGTTCCTTGTTCTCGTCTGTCATTCAAATGCTGCCTTACTATGCTGATAAAGTTCATGCCTTTTAAAATGTATTTATATTTCTGAATACATTTTGAGGCCTCTGATATTTATTTATTTATTGATTGATTGATTGATTGAATTTATATTGTCACCTATTCCCCCATGGCGATTCAAGGTGGCTTACAGAATTAAAGACCACATTTAAAACAATAAAAACTAACAAAAAGAATCAAATAAATTAATATAGTATAATATAGCAAAATCACCCCCCCCTACTTCTCACCCACCCTGCCCCAGCGACAACAGATCACATGAGCCATTTAATGGGCTCCATTCCGCTATGGGTTCCCCAGGCCTGCTGGCAGAATCAGGTCTTCAGCACCTTCCAGAAGAGTATTAGAGTGGGGGAATGATGTTCCAAAGAGAGGGAACCACCACGGAGAAGGCTCTTTTTCTGGGTCCCACCAGGTGCATCTCCCTCAGGGATGGGACAACATTCCCTGCCTCCCTGCTCTGATGGGTCGGGTAGATGTGACCGGCAAGAGACTGTCCCTCGGATAACCTGGTCCCAAGCCATGAGAGGCTTTAAAGGTGATAACCAGCACCTTGAATTGCACCCAGAAGCAAATCAACAACCAGTGCAGCTCCCGCAGGAGAGGTGATACACGTGCACACCAGGGTCTGCACAAAATCATGTGGGCCGCTACATTTTGCCCCAACTAGAGCTTTTGGATGCTCTTCAAGGGCAGCCTCATGTAGAGCGTGTTGCAATTGTCAATTCAGGAAGTGACTAGGGCATGAGTGACTGTGAATAGGGACCGGTGGTCCAGGAAAAGGCATAACTGGCGCACAACCTGCAGTTGCACAAACGCCTTCCTGGCCACGACTGCCACCTGCTCTTGAAGCAGGAGTTATGAGTCCAGGAAAACCCCTAGATTATGCACAGGGTCTGTTAGGGGTAGTGCCACCAAAGGTGGCAATTCTCACTGAGCCAACAAACCCCAAACCCAGAACCACTCCGTCTTGCAAATATTTAGTTTCAAACTATTGCTCCCCATTCAACTCCTAACAGCCTGCAGGCACTGCGAGATGGAGGACACGGCTTCACTTAACTCACCACAGGCCGAGATATACTTTTCATTGATAAAAAGTTTGAACATAGAGATATGACAAAGTACAAAAAGAGGGAATATAATAATAAAACTGCAGATATTATGACAAACCCATAAGCCTTACTAAAAGCACTTGTTCCTCAAACATTGTTCAGCTACATATTTAGACATGTCTTCAGGGCATAGGAAGCAAGTATGATCATTCATGGCTGACCCAGCTACATAACAAATGATCCATTAATGATAAAGTTACCTTTTTTGTAAAAAAATAATAAAATAAAACCAGTTGTTTCTTAGTATGGGTTTACTTGGTCACTTAAACTAAATATGGAAAACACTCTTGTGGTTCAGCCATTGGTCTATAAGTTTAGCCATTCCCTTCCAGCTATGCTGGCTGGAGAATTCTGGGAGTTGAAGTCTACACATCTTCAAGCTACCAAGGTTGAGAAACACTGATCTATGGCAAGCATGTCTCCCAATTATGGGATTATACAAACTGAAATAAGATGACTTTATTCTTCTCAGAGTATCTCTGTGTTACAATACTGTTTAACTATGTACAGCATAAGGGTAGTAGGGGAAAGAATACATGCCTTTGCACACTTACTGATGATATGTATGCTTGAAGCTGTATTGCATTGACTTGGCTCATGTAGCCTTCTTTGACTATACATTGATTATGTTCTTGTGTGCTCCCAGATATATTGAATATATGTGTGACATGATGGCGGATGAGCCCATTATTCCTCACAGCAAGCCAATCCTCATAAAGTCAATCAACATGACTCCAGTTCCTCTCTTCAGCAAGCAGCGCAATGGCTGTAGGCCTTTCTGTGAAGTTTATGTCGGAGATGAAAGAATAACCACTACCTCACAAGAATATGATAAAATGAAGTAAGTGGGATTTCTCGACAGCTACCATTTTGTCTCTTGCAGTGATGTGGTCTAGGTTGGGGAGGACATCCATTGGTGCCTTAATATCAAACATAGCTTTATGGCTGACATAGTCAATTAGAGTTGGCTATCCGATGCAGGTACTAATTCATGCAATGACTATTTTATTAGATGTTTTATTTGATTATTGTGCTGAAAGGCTCCCTGGATTGATTCATATTAAAGGCATCCCTGTCTTCAATTTATGAAGTAAAAGATGAACATAAAGGAAATATGGGGAAGAAGAGAAATCCCAGAGTTCTGAAGGTTAGAAAGAAAAGGAAAAGTTGGAATTTTATCAAGGCTGGTGGACTGGCTTTGTTCACTACTTTCCCCTGCTTTAGCCCAGAGGTTAAGATGGACATCAGGTGAAAAAGAGCCAGAGGTGGTCAGTCTTTTAAGTTTTAGATATTCCTTTAAAGTAAAGGCAGATTTGCCTGAATTTTGTTTGCTTTGGAGTTCAAATATGTTAATCAGCCATTTCCATCATCCAGTGGTCATGCAAGCTGAGGGTTGATGGGAGTAACACATATGGAGGGCCATGTGATTTGAGAAAATTATCCTGCAGCATGGTATGAGATGGCTCCCCCCAAAAGCCCCATTTAATCTTGGCATGTTTACAACTAGGAGCCAGTGTTAGTAAGCAACAGGAAGTTGTAAATATTTGCTGTAAATATTAATACCTAATTTTAGAACAGGAGTCCTCTGAAAGTGCAAGGAATGTTTGTGTTTTTGTGCTTTGTTGGTCAGTTCGCAAGGTACTTAGCCAGACTTTCATAGAAACAATTGGCCATATAATTTCGGAGTTCCCAAGATGGTTCATGATATGATTTTGGGTTGAGAGAGAGAAAAGTCTGTTATTTAATGACCACACCAGAATAAAAATTTGGGTATGGCTAATCTTCATCTCTGTTTACATTTTCAAGGTAGGCAGGACTGTCCCAAAAGCCTAGCTTTGTCATACATGTAGATAGACAAAGGTGGATTTGCTTTTACTAATCTTGGCTTATAATACTATAATACTTATAATACTATAACTGTATGAGCAATCGCCAGTTTGGTGCAGTGGTTCTATTAGGCTAGAAACCAGGAAACCAAGAGTTTTAGTCCCACTTTAAGGCATGAAGTCAGCCATTGAGTTAGTTCCCTTCCTTCTCTTAGCTTAGGAAGAAAGCAATGGCAAACTACTTCCAAAATACCTTGCCGAGAAAACTGCGGGAACTAATCTGGCTAGTGTGTGACTTGAAGGCACATATATGCACAGTCCAACTTTTAAGTAAAACTGAACTATATATTTTGAATGTATGACCATATCTTTTAATAAACTAAAATGTATTAATTTGATTTTGTACACATATGGAAGTCAAAATCAAATTAGGGAGTATTAATTTGACTTCTGTGTGGTGTGCATGCTTGCCCCTCAGTCCAGGTGCAAGAGAGCAGATGAATTGGGATATCTCTATCATCGGTACTTTAAAAAGGGAAGCAATGAACTAATAAACTGGCAGAATGAATTATGATTGCATTCAGATCTTAAAATCACGGCTATGCTTATCCTCCTTAGGGATTTCAAAATGGAAGATGGGAAAGCAGTCATCCCATTAGGCATCACCGTCCAAGGAGATGTCCTCATTGTGATATATCATGCCAGGTCCACTTTAGGTGGTAGACTCCAAGCCAAGGTAATAATCAAGCTGGGGACTTCTGTGCTTGTAAGTTCTGCAAACATTGTTGGGCACTTCATGGTAAATAGGATACCATTTCCTCATTTTCACCGCTGCTTTCCTGAGTTCAACTGATTTTTCCAAACAAAGTTGTATAAGTATAAATAAAATAATTATTAGACATTATGTAACCTGAAAAATGTTAAAAGTGAAAGAGTTAAGTGCTGTGATTTGATCTTTGAGAACCAGCTTTTTTTAAAAAAAATTAAACATTTAAAGAGAAATATAAATATGAATTTTCTGCAGATTGCTGTAGAAAATTCAGATTGTTTTGTATCTACGGTAATTGAAACGCTTGAGATTTATTCACAATAACAACTATCAATTCAGCTTATTTTTTTGGCCAAGATAATTCTGGCTGACTTTAATTCTAGTTGCCCTGAGCCTAGAGGGGAAAAAAAGCATAGCTTCAAATGCTATGAATAAATGTATTGACAGCAGGAAATCATTGGGATGCAAGATAAACTGTTCCAGGGCCAAAGGTCTTTTAACACAAGATTGGCAGTCAGAAAATATATGTAATGAAATGTTGAAGGTGGTCAGATGAGGATTTGTGTCTTCAGGGCATGTTGTTTCACTAGCACATCTTAATTCTTTTGTTGTTGTTTTTCCCTTTCAAGATGGCATCAATGAAGATGTTCCAGATCCAGTTTCATACAGGATTTGTACCTCGCAATGCCACTACTGTGAAATTTGCAAAGTATGTTGATCATGTCTCTATAGGAAATGCTTCCCAACACTTCTTCTAGTTGCATTTGTATTGGTTTGTTTTTTTATATACAGGTAGTCCTCTTACAACAGTTCATGTAATGAGCGTTCAAAATGACAGCGGCATTGAAAAAAAAGTGACTTAGGACTGTTTTTCACACTTATGTCCATTGCAGCATCCCCTGGGCCACGTGATCAAAATCTAGCCACTTGGCAACTGAGTCGTATTTTATGATGGTTGCAGTGTGCTGGGGTCATGTGATCCCCTTTTGTGACCTTCTGACAAGCAAAAACAGTGGGGAAGCCAGACTCACTTAACAACCGTGTGACTAACTCAACAGCTGCAGGGATTTCATCTAACAACTGTGGCAAGAAAGGTCATAAAATGGGACAAAATCTACTTAACTGTTTCACTTAGCAATAGAAAGGTTGAGCTAGCATTGTGGTTGTAAGTTGAGGACTACCTATCTAGCATCTTCCATTGCAGTGTTTCAGCCTTTTTTTCAACCCAGTGGACAACATAATTGCTATTTAACTGACCAGAGTACTGGAGAGACTTTTCTTCTTCAGCCATAACTTGCACTCTTACTTACTCTTATTGACTCCACAGCAGTGGTTTGTTGCAGGCGGTACGGCCCGGTACAGGTGTGCCGGAGCCTGCCTGGAGCACCAGATATCATTCCAGTAAGGTGCTTCAGAGGGCCCACCTGCCTGCCCAAGCTCCTTACCTGTCCTTTAAGCCTTTGGCGCTTCTGCACACGCACATGGTGCATTTGGCGCCTGCGCTACGCTACGCCGAGCAGCTGGGGCATCGCGGAGGCATGCAGAGGCATTGCAGGCAGGTACGACGCACGCACGTGCTGCGTGTGGGTGTGCCTGCACTGGGCGTGTCCATGTGGGAGACGCCGGGCCCGTTCCAACCGTACCAATTGGAACAGGATCTGGAACCGACCACTGCTCCACAGTCATGTTTCTGACTGTGGTATTTAAGTGTGGCTTCTGATCACTTCAGAGTGAAGAAAAAATAGACACCAAATGCTGAGCTCTGAAGCAAAATGTGTGGTGTTCTAGGTTTGGCTAGACACAATAGAGGTAGTCCTTGACTTAAAACAGTTCATTTAGTGACTGTTCAAAGCTGTAACCACTGAAAAAAGTGACATGACTGTTTTTCACACTTACGACCATAGTAGCATCCTCATGGTCATGTGATTTACATTCAGATGATTGACAACTGACTCACATTTATGACGGTTGCAGTGTCCTGGAATCATGTGATCTTCTTTTGCAACTTTCTGACAAGCAAAGTCCATGAGGAAACCAGATCCCCTTAACAAGTGTTGCTAATTTAACAGCTGCAGGGATTCACTTAGCAAATGTGGAAAAAAAAGTCATAAAATGGAGCAGAATATTCTTAGCAAATTTCTCAATTAACAACATAAATGTTGGGCTCAGTTGTGGTTGTACATTGAGGACGTAATCTTTTTAAAAAAAGACGTGCTTCTAACTAATGCCATATTGCTGCAGGTATGATCTGGATGCCTGTGATATTCAAGAGAAGTATCCTGACTTGTTTCAAGTGAATCTAGAAGTAGAAGTAGAGCCCCGAAATAAGCCCATCATGGAACAAGCTCCCTGGGATAACTTGAACATCAAAGGCCTAAATCCCAAGATCCTTTTTTCCAGCCGCGAAGAACAACAAGAGATTTTAACAAAATTTGGTAAGAAAAAGAAAGAACGTCCACAGGGTAAAGGTAAAAGGTAAAAGTTCCCCTCACACATATATACTAGTCACTCCCGACTCTAGGGGGCAGTGCTAATCTCCGTTTCAAAGCTGTAGAGCCAGCGCTATCTAAAGACGTCTCCGTGGCCGTGTGGCCGGCATGACTCAATGCCAAAGGCACACGGAACACTGTTACCTTCTCACCAAAGGTGGTTCCTATTTTTCTACTTGCATTTTTTACATGCTTTCGAACTGCTAGGTTGGCAGAAGCTGGGACAAGTAACGGGAGCTCACTCCATTACGCAGCGCTAGGGATTTGAACAGCCGAACTGCTGACCTTTCTGATCGACAAGCTCAGCATCTTAGCCACTGAGCCACCGTGTCCCTTGCCACCCCCTG